TAGCGTCGAGTTTCTCTTAATTTCGGAATTAAATTCAGATCACCAGTGGTTATACTATAATATTTCACACAATGATCGTAATGCTTAATATAACATTTGGTACGTCGTTTCATATTGATTTATTAATTATTCCTTAGTTTTGTATACTAAATTCAGAAGGCGTTTATAATGTGCGATGGCTCGCGTTTGTCAACGCGAGCAACTTTTGTGCACGTCTAAATATCCGTACTGGCGCAAACAGAAACTATGTGTAGCCATTGTAACCGTCGAGAGTGTAGAATGCAAATATGCATGGAACCGAGTTAAACACGCTTACGTATTTATGTTCCTTGGAACGTTTCCGGTCCCCATACAATTTTACCGTCACCGATTCCGACAGCTTCATCAGGTTTGATTACAAAACGAAGAATTATTTTCAACGAGATTTGTTAAAAAATGCAATAGAGCTAGCAGACTGTCTGGTTAAGGCAGAAGCATCATAATTTGTATTAGTAAACTATGAAATTGAAAGGATAATTCTTATCAGAGTTAATATTTGAAGGAATCAAAATGTATATCGTTTCGCAATAATGTCTAGAATTGTCTGGTTTGACGTAGCTGCAAGTTATAATTTGGAAATAGTTTAGCAGACCGCGCGGGTTCATTTCGCGTCGGTCCACAAAATGCGAGTAATAGCTCTGGCTGAACTTTTGATCGGCAGGAGAGAATCGTTCGAGTATTCCATGTACATTACCTTTCATAAATATTAAACTTGGTAAACAATACAATCTTTTCAGTAAACAAACATATGGCAATTTAATCGACAGAGATATTTGTTCAAACTTTTTTTTTATAAAAAATGATCTGAATTTGAAACATTTTGTACTTTAATTTCATTCTGTTTTAAATTGAAATTAATAATCCTCTTTCGATTGGTATTACCTCGTAAGGTGATGGATACAGAATTATTCGTGTGATCGATAAACGTTTTGTTTAAAACTTATGAAGGGTAGTGTACGAGTTGCAGGTGCAGCTGCACGTACATGCAAGTGCACGAACGGTACGTGCGGCGTATGTTGATGGGGTTGCGGTTTAACTCCGGTGGCTGCTGGATAGCCCGCCGTTATTATCCGTAACTCGTGTTGCGGCGGTCCCGGAACAAACGCGGCCGAAAACCTTCGTTTCCTGTGCCACCGACCACGTCAGCTTCTCTTTTCGACGGAGGACGACCCGTGATGACCCCGGAACCGAGAAAGATTCGTCACTGTCGCTGCTCGAGATCGGTTATGTTGCTAGCTTTCCGCAGCTACGTTTGATCGATCACCTCACCGTTTTTGTTACCTACGGCCCCATTCTGATTTTTTTAATCAATCGGTTAATCAAATTCTATTAGAGCAGCATAAGAGAACACATGATACGATAAAACTTTCAAGAATTCGTTTACACGCGTGTCACACTGTGTGTTTTAGACAAAATCTCATAAATTTACCTTGCCAACAAATTGCATCTTCATTTTTTGAACTAACTTCAAACAGAGGTAAGAAGGAATCGCGTTTTTTCAGTTAGTAATCGATTTTCAATAATCTCGAGCGCGTTCAATATTAACGGGACGCACGTACGGCGGGCCCCATTGTAGAGTTTGGAAATGACACGATAACGCGTTCTGGGGATGTTTTTAAAGTTTCCACGCCGCCCGGTATTCCCCATTCTACCGTATATAATCTATAAAATTCTTATTTCCATAGTTCCGGCGGGCTAGTAAACTTTCAAATTTTCTACCGTGGAAGTCTAAAATACGAAAAATATGAGCGCTGCTTTCGGTCATATTTGGTAAAACTACCGAATCCGTCAGAACGTCGCATCGTCTGAACGGGCTGTTACATAGCATGATTCAAGTGATTCTTACAACGTGGACGTGCACAAATATTATCACGTTGTGCGGTGAATGTGACGTTACTAAATCAAATAACAACATGAATCATAATGATCATTCAATGAACGTTTCGAATTTCTAATGAAATGTTTGCGAAGTTTCCTGATAAACAGTATACAGAAGTGCCGAACGGAAATGTATACCGCATTTGCATTGGGCCGATCGAATTATACGAGTGGCAGAGACCGAGATATACGGTATGAACGAAGGACGGGTGATCCGATGTGAAATATCTTTAGTCGCTCCCTCGGATTCGCGAGAACGAGTGATAAAAGAAGCAGAAGGGTGCCGGGTAAAACTAGGTGTTCCCGGTTGCTTTAGGCTAGGTTACCGCGAAAAAACCTTTGGCCCTTCACCGAGAACGAGCCGGATTACCGTTTTTGGCTTTCATCGCGTCGGGAGAGCCTCCCACGCGCTTTTACCCGCGGCCGCATCGTGAAATTCGTTCTTGATCCCAGTAAATGTGATAGAAAAAGGAACTGATATCCCCCATGGCGCTCGGCGAATTCCGAGACATTTTATATTAAGGGAATACCAGACAAAGGAAACGTCGAATGAAATACAATAATCAGCGCGCGGAAAAAATTACGGCTGCCCGGTATTCGATATTGTTTCGTTGGAATCCAATTGTAATTCTTATGGACGGTTATTAAAGATTTCCTTCGCGTTTTATGAAGCTTCACGGCACTGTAAAAGGAATCCTGACAATTTGCAGTCGAGCACGTGTTTGTCGACAAATTGAGAGATTATTGTCAATCATATAATTAATTTTGAATAGTTTCAATAAAATTAAATCTCGTTTCAACTTCAATCGACATTATAGAATTCTCATTCGTTCATCCATACTCTTACAATATACGTTCATATCGTACATATTATTTAGAAAACGTTTCAAAACTTACGAGGGCGGTGGGGGAGGTTGGATGTAAGCGACATTTCAAGAGACAAGGGAATATCGCGCGAAGATATTTGCGAGACCGTTTCAATCCTGGCCACGCTGTTCAAGTTTTTATTTCGCGGCCCGAAGCGACGAGAACCCGTGAAGAAAGCGGTGCACATAAGAACGTACAATGTATTTTCACCCTATCGGCTGCAGTCCTCTCACGGCGTGTCGATATCCTCCTGTCCAAAGCCTTTGACCTCAAGAATTGCCGTTCGCTTTTAAACTTCCTCCCAGCCCGTTCCTTTTCGACACCGTACTGATTTTCTCCTCCCTACCCTTACGTCTCCGCAGATTTTCACGACGAACATCGAACGGAGCACGATTAATAAACATGTGACGTAAAAAATTGCAGAAACGTACTTTCGAAGTTGCAAGCTTCTTACATATATAATTAATAACAAAGTGCATTTCTCATTCCCTACTAATTGACCTGATTGCTTCTATCGAGCAAGCGAACACGAGGCAACTTTAATTAAATAGATCTATCTAACCAATTCATTCGGAGTCTGAGTGGATCCGAAGACTACGAGGAGGAAAAATATGAAGAACGCGTTTTTGATACTCTGCTTCACAGTCAATGGATCGGGTGAATGATTCACGTATAACTGAGCGCGGTGCACGCGACATTCCATTATGCAATTGGCGAATTTAGGTTTCCGCGGTGGCCCCGTTCTGGCAAGATGCATTCCCGGCCAGTCACTTCGGCTATCTGTGTTGCGCAATGAGCGACATAAATCACGTTTGCGCGATTCGGATACGCGCGATATATCAATGACAGGATGCATGAAAAAAGAGAAAGAAAGAAGGGACGGAAGGAAGGAACAGCATCCGCGGAGCCATGGCAACGTACCAAAACCAGCCGCGAGCTGTTCTTCGCCGCGAGTTTAAAGCAAAACGCGGCGATACCGTATGCATAAATAACAACGCGAGACGAGAATTAAAATTTATCACCCGAATTTCAATCGTCTCGCTGAAAAATACAAGATTAACGAATTCGACGTGCATTTGTGATCAACCGTACTGTCTCGCTCGTCCTGAATAGAAATGAGACGTTGCAGGACCACGAATAAACAGATGAAAATCAAGCACCATGATTCTGTTACATGATAATTGTTTCTGTTCTTTGAAGTAAAATGATCGAATCTATCCATGATTAACTAGTGTTGATTTGACACATTACACGATTTACAGTGATCTTTCAATTGATCGTGAGGCGAGCACCTACGGAATATTTGTCAGATTTTTTGATAAACAAGTAGGAGACCGTTACTCTTGAACGAAATCAATAAGAAGATTGATCCGTTGTCGAGAGTAACTCGTTTTTTAAATTGGCTGGAGTGAACGAGCCTTAAAATCGCCGAAAGTAGGGAGCGAAAGAAGGGTGCAAGGTACCTGGGAGAGGGTCAGCTCCTAGAGCTGTACGGTACTGTTCGAGAGGGTAAAAGAAGAAAGGCGGAAAAGAAGGATGGAGAAACGTGGAAGGGTAGAGAAATGTAGGCAGGGGATAGCAAAATCGTGGGACCGAGAGAGAGGGTAAAAGCATAAGGTGGAGGAACAGGGAAAGCGAGAACACGCATGCTGGGTAGTAGGGTTCTGCAGCGATGGGTTTGAGAAGCTTCAAACTTCATTTCAAGTTATTTCGTACCTCGTCTTCATCAACTTACTTTGTACCGAACATTAAGCACTGCCTGATAACGATAAAAAGTAACAATCTGCTGTTTTACATTTTAAACTCCTCATTAAAGTTTGTGCTTTTCTATTTCTGAGAGGTCAGCAACAGCGCGTGCACATTAATAAATAGAAGAAGCGATCTGTTAATTAAACGCATTGCTGAAAGAAGAAGTTTCTGAATTTTAATCCTTGTTCTAAATTCGCGAAGATCGAGGGGAGACGATGCTGCAGCCGGGCTTTAAAGCTCGGGCGCGTATTTGAGACTGAGCATTCGTACTTACCAGCAAATTGCACGAAAACTTGCGACAGAGGGAATATCGAATGGCCATCGCTAGCCGGGGATGTTCGAGAGGGGAAGCGCAAGGCCGTCGAGGGTTGGTAACGCCAACTCCGAAGCGTGGCTCCTCCGGGTGGGGGTGGTCGGTACCTCGAACGACTGCGTTGGTCTCCCCGCCGCGCTCAGTCCGACCCGGACCTTCGTGGGAGACGCGTCTGTCTTCCGTGATCGCGTCGCACCGGTACGCATGTTGTCATCATTGCACAGCAACCGTTGACCCCTAGTAGCACGCGAATTCTCTTCGGATCTCGCGAGTTACGAATACGCAACGGGGGAGAGCAAGAGAAAGAGAGAGAGAGAAGAGGAGTTTGCATCAACGTCGAGTACGACGTATACAAGGACGGTGACCGCGTCGCACGAGGCTCAACAGTGAGAGGGAGAGAGGGAGGGAGAAAGTGCGTGGACAAAGGAGAGAGGAGAGGAGAGGAGAGGAACGCGAAGAAAAAGCTCTTTCTCTTGCTCTTTCTCTCTCTATACCTCACCGGCTTTCCACACGAATCGATACCACGCGACCGTCGTCGTCGTCGTCGTCTTCTTCGTCGCCCGCCGGTCGTTCCTCTCTCTCAACCTCTTCTCGACCGCGAGTGCTCCGTTTTTTTGCCCGCCGCTGGACCTCGTGCGCGTCCTTCCACGAAATTCGACCGCAAGGTCGCCCCGAGGACCGTGACAGTACTCACTACGCTGATCTCCATTTTCGTTACGATCGATACGTCGATCGATGCGGTTGGTGGAACGATACGAGATCGATAATCGAAGAGGTAATGGCGATCGTTGTTCGGACAGAGAAGTAAAGTTCGGAAAAGGTGAGCCGTGTTTTATAGTGCGAAGCCGAGATCTTTGAAAGGAAACGTTCCCTCTCGCGTACGCAGTGTTTTGTTTATTCGTGAACCGGTCACAGGATTGTAGTGCGTATGTCCCTATGTGCCACGTGACGTTTGTTTATTTTTGGTGCTTTTTATCGTCGCTCGGCCAACGGTAATCTTACTACGCTTCACACCACAGATACGATTTCGGCTTCCGGAATTGACCTTCGACAAGCCAGGTGTTCGTCGACTTTCACCACGCGTATCTTCGAAGAGTAAGTAAACACACTCCACTTTCTATTTGTAAACAACGCTTGTTATATCCGTTGCGGTTGCTTTCTACGCCGATCCCGGCACCAATTTTACTCCGAAATTATCGCCCTTGTAAATTAGTCGTTTGGCGACTACCCAAACGGTCTCCAAGTGTTAATTCGACTGTACGTTTTCATTAGTATCCCTCGTTAAGTCGTGAATCCCGCTATAATTCTTTCCATCCACTTGTTAAACGAATCGAACATTTCCTCTTGTTAATATTCCTTCGATAGATATGAAACCGTTGAACTGAACATCCGATGTAACGAAACTTATATAAAGAAAACTTCAAATGTGGACAATTTTTGTCATTATTGTTTAAGCATTGTTTCACACAGGTATTTGATTTCAGATCATGTTATACTAATCGGGATCGGGATTAATTGTTTCACTGATTCCAAGCGAGATAACTCTTAGTAGCGGGGATGAAAAAGTCGTACCGTTGAATCTTCTCACTTTATCGAAGGAATACTGTATATTCAGTATAAATTATCAATCAAGTTTTTGTGCGAATCGATGAGATTAAATTAGTACATTCATCGAATCATGTAATGATTGATAGAACAACTGTATATAGAACGTCAAATCTGAATCAATAGTTTCAAACGTTTCCTTATTTATTACATGGTATATGTATAATTTTTTGAGTTACATCACGTTGAGTATGCGTCAAACATAATGTAAAATTCTTGAAGAGAAGGAATAATGGCGGGATTTTTAACGGGTGTTTAATAGTTAGACGATGCATTTTTTATTGCAAGATATTTTTATCGCTTTGCCGTTGTTCTATGCGCGTAACAAAGCCCTGACAGAGAGCCGGCGGCAGCGACTTTGTGGATCGTTCACACGGCGAGATGTTTTGTTCCGCAGCCGAGGAATTAATCGATCGTAAAGAGGCTAATGCGAACGATACGCCAGCCATCCGTGCACGGGGAACATTTGACAAAGGAGAGCGTATATCGAATGCGGGTGTATTCTCTGTCCCACTAGCCAGGCCACTTGCGCGCTCTCTTATCGTCCGACAAAAGACGCGTCGTCGTTCCCCTAAGTAAATGTTATTCCTTCGACTCGATCCTTTTGACTCCATTTTCGCCTTACCTATCTTTACTTGCCTTCTTCTCATGTTTATGGTAGAGTTAGCTTCACGTCACCGACGTTGCTTTCGTTAACGAGTAACGATTCCCCAAAACTTTTTCTAATAATTGCAAGTGTCCTTTCATCTCGACGAAAGTTGCAGCGATTCTGCAGAATTTTGTAAGCAGCGTCTAAGTATTAATTGCAAGTGGCTTCCTTTTACGCGGAGTATAAAAGGATCTGGCAGGATTGCTCGGTTCTCCTCTGGCTAGTGATAGAAATAGAAATGAAATTGGAGTCTGGCGGTCGTTTCTGAGCGGTCGATTCTCGGAGGCAATTTTTAGAGCGCGATCGAAAAGTCGATGTAACGAGTTCTCTTTAGTTGGACGTTTCCTTAAGGAATCTCAAAGGCGATTCCCGCGAAGCCAAATTAAACGGACGCATCGATTCAAACACCCAATATCGTAGATTAACATTTCTCTTAGAAAAAGAGAGACGACTGCGTTACGATAGAGACAGAGAGAGAGAGGATAGAGCTTAAAGGGTGGAATTGAAAAATCGATTTCGAGCGTTAATAAAAGATTCGACGTCGAACGTTAGACGGAAAAAATATAGGGTACAGAATCTGCAATTTCGCTCTCAGGATTCTCGAGCTCTCCGACGTCTCATTAGATTTTATCGTAGGCGGGGGTCTATAGTCGAGGATACTTGAGACTTTATTCTCGGCCATAGCCACTGAAAGTTACATACTTTTCAAAAGTCTCGCCGGATTCTATTGCTTCCACGACAAACTGTCCTATTCGGTAACATTATTACAAAAATGGGAATGTTACGTTTTTGCGATTGACCCATAAATACCCTAATGATCTGTAAGATACTGATGGAACGATCAATGGCGAAACGCCGTACGGTAATTTGATTGTTAAGGCTCCTGATAATTAAACATTATCAATTCGATTGAATCGCGTAAGAAGATTTTTTCAGTAATATTGTTGAAATTCGCGGCATATTATCGTTGTATTTTAATGGGGTAGGATATACAGCGTAAACCTCTATTTATGCTCCACCGCAGAGTGCGGCATTGTCGAAAGTACAATGCCGCCACGCGAACCTGCCACGCGTATTGTAAATGAAATCTTCGTGAATCCTTTCTTCGGAACCAGCTTTTTTCGGCACCATTGTCCTTTCCTTTTTGCAGCTACGCGAAAACTAGAAAATATGTAGTGCCCTCGTCTCGGGAAAAACATAACTCTCAAAGTTTCTTCTAAATGCATACGAGTTTCCTTTCTCTCCGTTTCGAAAGTAATGCATACAGAAATAAGATAATTCATCCGAAAATCGTGTTCAGAGAACAATTCGATAGAACGTATTTCTGGCGAGGGATACAGGGCTATTTTTTGCGATCCTGTTTGTTCTCGTGGCGGATGAGGTCTGAGCCGAGGTGTATTTATTTTTAACCGTGAACCAGAAACAACGGGAGGCGGGGGACGGAACTTTGCCTTATTGTTGGATTCCGTCAAGTTTGTTCGCAACTACGCACCAAGATATAGAAAGTTTCCTGCACGCCGGTGTACTTTAGCGCGCTTAGCACGCCAAGACAATATTGACTCGTTCGTGTCTCTCCCCCGAGATGCTCCGGCAACTTTATTTTCAAGGGCTTCCGTTATCGGTGAAAATCGCTGGATTAACCGTCCTCGCGACTGTTGTTTTCCCGATTGCCAATCGATCTCTCTTCCTCCCGCCACTCGTGTTTAGCCGTTTCGCTTATTTTTTTTCTGCGACGACGCACGCGAGAAATCGATCAGCTTCCGTGAACTCTCTCGTTATCTGTTCATCGGTACGTTTTTTTTAACGAGGAACGAACTACCCCTATTGCTTTCCACGGTACGCGCACTTCTTAACAACGAGAACGGAAACGAGTTTCGAGGGAAAGAAATAATCTCGTGTATTCCAGTCACGAAGAATCTGTCCCGCTTTCGGAAACCGTTCATTGTGTACGTTCCGAGCAATACCGTTGTAACGAAAGTTTCGCAATTTTCGAGAATGCTGCATCGCTGCAGCTATTCTAAAAGCGAACTTCGCCCGAGCATTCCCATTGTCCGAGTTCTCGTTTTATAACGATCTCAAAAACTTTATCTAGTGTTAATAAACCCTCAGCTTAACGCATCCCGCCGGCGCAACTGTTGCGTCATTTCGCTAATAATAACTGGAACAGTATCACGTGAAATAACTTGTTATTTACTCATTTTCTTAAAACGTGCCGCACATCATCTCATTACATGATACAAAATATATTTCTGCCAGAAGTAGCGATGAAATCGGTGATTAATCGATCATTTTAAATGACGTTTCTTATTGATTCTTTTTGCACGATGTACTGAAGGGATCTCTGAATTTGTTAATGAAGTGATCCATCAAAGCGTTCGGATATTTACTATGCGTGGTCAAACCTTTTGCGTAACGACGAGTGACCAAGGGTCTTTTCGAAAAAAAAAAATGAATTCGGTACGGTTACGGGACACGCTTATTTAAATACCAAATAGACCATTCCCGCGAGTCTCGTGGTCTGTGATTTTCGTTTCGTCGAGGGTTCACCCCTTGCAAAGGAAGAGAGGGAGGCAGGCCGGTGCGCCCTCAAACGAGGCATAAAATCGGAGATGAGTCTGTCGTCGCAAAACGAGTAGGGGGTTGCAAAACAGTTTCGAGGGGCGACCGGGCATTAATCAATCCAAAAGAATCGCGAGATATCCCACAGCATGCTGCCATTCATTCGCATATGGACAGGACACACAGAGTAGATCGCAGGAAAGCATTTTCATAGATCATTTATTAATTAGTTTTATTTACAGAGTCTCTAACGTTTTCTATGACAATCGCATGGAAATCAGAAAAAAGGTCACAAAGTAAAGTTTGGAATTTTTATTGTTCGCGAATGACCTTTTAGCTATTTTTGAAATTTCATGCAGTTCGAATATGGAAATGAAAGAAAAATTGCGAGGCACAAAGGATCGGGAGCGTTTCTAAATAATTGAAAGCAACAGCGGGTGGCGTTCATCTCGTACGATAAAATCGTTCCCGTGTTCGGTTTGAAAAAAAATGCACCGCCAAAAATCAATTTGGTTTTTCGCGATAACGGCGAAGAACGAACGTGCGTATGTACAAAACTCCTGCGTCTTTCGCCCCCCTCTCCCTCCCTCGATTCGAGTGCCGCCCACTGCGAGCCGCGGGACGTGCGATAACAATGGGGCTGTTTTTACGAGCGTCGTCGTCGTTCGGTTCTATCGCTGGACCCTCGACACACGAATTAATAACCGTTTCAAACCGCTCTGGAATTAAAATATCCTTGCCGGGGGTTTGGCGCGAGCGACAAATCCACAGAGAGGGCGGACGGGGGAGAGGGTGGCCGCGCGTGGATTGTCCGCAAGAATTAATCACTCGTCCAATCTGCGCGAAATCACGCCATGTAATCACCACGAGGTTTGTTATTAGCGGTCCGCAGCGCGTAAAGTACGTACACACGCCTACGAATTTTAAAAGTTTCCGAAAATATGGCCCGGGTATCGCGCCGCTTTTTTCCTCTCGAAATTTGTTGTTTCGGGGGTAAAAAATGTCAACGTACCCTTTGTCCGAAAATATGTTCCACGATGTAATCGGTGCTCGTTTGTCTTGAAAAATTGTTCGATCGGAGCTCGCCACCTCGGATACCTCGATGAAATATCGAGGGCGAATCGCCGCGCAGATCGCATCTGAATCCTGCAATTACTTTTGGCAACGCGACCGTAAAACGTTAACCGATGGCTTTGATAGACGTTCCTTTTTTTATAAACCGAAGACAGTTCGTCTAAATTGAGCTAACATCAATTTCATGTTGGACGGGTTTTAATTTAAG